CCAAGAACGGTAAGATTGGGCTGGCGGGGAGAGCGCCAACTTCCTGCCCGACGGGGACGGCGCGGTGGCGGGGCCCTGGGTGGCGCGGGCGATGCGTGGACAATGCGAGAGTCAGGAAGTGCTCACCCCGCCCCTCCGCCCCGCTGCGGCTGCCCCTTCGCGGTCCCCACGCCTGGCTGCCAAGACTGATCTGCGGCCCCAGCGCGGTGTCCGCTCTGGGGTCAGCCCGCGCCCCGGGCTCCGAGAGGTGCCCGGCCACGGCAGTGCTGCCCTCTGGCCCTGGCCGGGCTGGCGGAGTCCGAGTGTGTGCTCGGGCCGGAGGGAGGAAGGAAAGAGCTGCCCAAGTTGGAAAGAATGATCCGATCCAAAAACTTAGGCTCTAGTTCATTCTCCCTGTGCTTCCACCCACCCGCTTTTTCCCCGGTGAAGGAGAGCCTGAATTCCCAGCACATCCAGCCTGCTGGGTTGAGTGCCACAGGTGAAGAGGCCCCGACACATGTTTCGCTGTAGGGCGTGTGTGGGGAGGTGCCCTTTAATTCTCTCGCTTGCTTGAGGAAGAGAATCTGAACTTGACTTCCGTTCCCAGCCTGGAGTGTTTTTTTTAAAAAAAATCACCCTCTGTGCTTCACATTTAGTAGGAAGTCTAAGAGTTTTAGGTAGTGCCTGAATGGTGCTTTGGGGCGGACACTTAGGGAATAGCAAAGATGTGACAGGATACTTGGTCTCACTCCAAAACATGATTTTCGGTAGAGGGTACTGGGCACTTGGACTTCTCTGGCCAGTTCTTTGAATGCCTTTGGTTAGGCAGTTTTTCCGGGAAGAGAATGTAGGTATATTTTAATAAAGGAAGATTTAGAATTTTTTTTTCCTGGCTTTTAGTTTATAGCTTCACCTTTTGAAGCCATTCTTAATATGTAGATAAGTGACTTTGAAACAGGGCAATTGCACTTTCAAGAACCCCATAGTGCCCTGAGCCTATATAGGAGATGGAAGGTAGCCTGTTAGAAACAGAACCAACCATAGGCCCCATTGGCTGAGTCTTTGCAGTATTGAAATAGGAAGATTTTATTTGTTTATTTTCAGGAACAAATTTAACTCTTTCTGTGAATGTTTGATAATATGACTTTTGGCCAGCCTGTATTCTCCAGGTTTTTCTTCTTTTTTTACTCCTAGATCTAACCTTCATTTTGGTATTGATGTGGCAAAGAGAAAGTTGCCCAGCCTCTGGGTAAGACAGTCTCCTTGCTCAGCCATTTAGAGCTTTGTTATTTTGGAAAGGCCAGTCCTCTGAGCTTGGATTTCCTCATCTGCAAAATTGAAGAAAAATTGCTCTGGTCTCTTCCTACTGTTATAAATATCACAATGGGCCTTCCCTAGCAAGACCCCAGTTGTTATTTTAAAGGCCTGTTACCTATGTAATGAGCTTAGTAAAATTCCTCATAAAGAGTATGTAAACTGGGCGGTACCTGTAGCTCAGTGGGTAGGGCGCCACCCTGTGTACTGAGGGTGGTGGGTTCAAACCCGGCCCCTGCTGAACTGCAACCAAAAAATAGCCGGGTGTTGTGGCGG